TACCGCGTCTAGGAGCGAAAATGCGAACCAATCAGTGCGCGCCACGTGTCCAGATGTAGATGCACATATAGTTATAACTAGGTGCACTTGTAGGTGAAAGTATGTGCACCTGATCAATGAATGATAACTTGGCAAAGTTACATGCACTTGTAGGTGAAAGTAACGGCACTTGAAAGTGAAAGTAGAGGCAAAAACTACATGCACTTGCAGGCGAAAGTATGTGCACTTGTAGGTGAAAGTAGGTGCGGCACCCGATCAATGAATGTTGACACGTGACACGTGACACGCGCTGATTGGTTCGCATTTCTTCCTGGGCACCTATTCGCACAGGAGTGCAACCATATATATATATATATATATATATATATATATAATACACAATTTTTTTCATAACAAAGATAACATCTACATCTACAAATACAAATCTAATAAGAGCCAATAATGTTAGGTTCTGGAACTAAAAAATGTTGGTAGTAATTATTTCCTAAAATGAATGGTTTATATAATTTTGATTTTAGTATTTTTTTAATGATTTTTTTTATTTACCTTCTATTATATTATTTTCTTTCCTTAAATGACCCTAAATTATGTTAGTATAAACTTTAGTAACGAAATATTCCGTTAAGTATTTATTTTTCTTAACTTACTCAATAATTTATATAAGAAACGAGCGAGGGGGCTGGAGACTAGCGGCGATTGTGAAAACGACAAGGGGCGGGAGGGCACACGGCGAGGCGCGGAGGGGGAAGATGATGGAGGGCGGAGGGCGGAGGGGGGAGGATGGCTGGGGAAGACGATGGAATAGCATCGCTGTGCGTTGCTGGGGAAGACGATGGAATAGCATCGGTGTGCGTTGCTGGGGAAGACGATGGGGTGCTGTTTTGTTGAAAAAAACTCTAATTAAAAACTCTAATTATCTACGTCAGGAATTATTAATACCGAACGCATATTATTTTTTATTTAATAAAAAAATGCGGAGACGGTCCGTTGTTAGAGCACAACGGGCGCAGATTGTCCATTATTAAAAAAATAAAAAATTAAATAGTGAATTTTTAATTACAAAATTACCCCCGATCACTTTACGCGTATGATGTTTAAACAAATGACACAATTTGTCTTATTTTTATAGTAATCTTAGTTATGCTGTGCATCCGTATGCACCACCATGCATGGTGCATACGGATGTAAAAATGACGTCGTTTTATTAAAAACGCGCGTCTCCCCTTAAAAAAAAAATTCAGGTTTAATTTTCAGCAACAACATATAAACTAAAATTTCAGAATCGATGAACTATAATTCCAGAATCTATGAACTAAAATTCCCGAATCTAATCTATGAATTAAAAATTCCAGAATGAATGAACTAAAATTCCAGTATCTATGAACTAAAATTTCAGAATCGATGAATTACAATTCCAGAATCAATGAACTATAATTCCATAATCTATGAACTAAAATTCCAGAATGAATGAACAACATAATGTTGTTGCTGGGAATCGAACCTGAATTTTTTTTTTAAGGGGAGACGCGCGTTTTTAATAAAACGACGTCGTTTTTGCATCCGTATGCACCATGCATGATGCATACGGATGCACAACATAACATAACTACTCTTGTATTAGTGTTCCTTAACTTCTTTAGCCTTTGTCCTTACGGAATTGGTAGTTGAGTTGTCCATAAGACTTTCAATTTCTATCTCTTTTGCACTCATAATTTCAGGAACTATTGGAATATTTATTTTCGGATCTCTTGAATGTGTTCTATAATCCATCTTAATATCCACAAGGATTCCTATCTCTTTCACCAATTGGAATGCATTTCATTCCTGGTTGATCTACCGTCATTGGCCAAGTTGCCATCGGAACACTGAACCAAATACTTTTCAAAATTGAATTCCATCTGCAATAAGACACGAAACTCCTGACAGTAGGGTGAGCTAGAACTGCACTTTGTGATGCCCATTCTATAACTTTTCCGATGCTTTAAGTTCTTTAATTCCAAGAATCCTTCCGGTAGGACGTCTTTGGGATTGCTATACCCGGTTGGGACTAGTGAACCTGGAGAGGGTGGCTCGCTTCCTCAAGACCCATACGATCCTTTGGCCGCTACATTTAAGTGTGTACAGTATCTGCTTCACCGGAGGCTCCTGAAAAATGCCGGCGCCGGCACTTAATTCCGAAGCAAAGGTATACAACTGATCGATGAAGTTGGTTGGTCATTCACCAAGAAATACTTGGGAAGACCGTTTAGGTTTGATACAAGTCCCATAGGGTAAACGACGGGTGAGACGGTCTTGTCTTTAGAGAGAGATTGAAGGGCATATATGTGGCTCTAGGTCGAAGAAGGTGTTGACAATGATGCATTTGGCCTGTCGGATTCGTCTGGCATAGCCCATGAATCCATCTGTTGTGTCCAACACAAAGCTGGGAGGTGGTTGAATTTTTTGTGCAAATTTGACAAGCAAAAGACAAAAATGGGTAAAAACAAAAAGGTGGATAAAAATCATAGTTGCAATAGGCGCTAGGCGCTAGTCGGGCTGTAGAGTAGCGCCTAGCGCCTAGACGGTCTAGGCGGGGCCTAAGCGGCCTAGGCGGCTAACTGAAAAAATGAAAAATAATGCACGTGTGTAGGTGCATATATGTCATATTATACACACACACACACACACACACACACACACACACACACACACACACACACACACACACACACACACACACACACACACACACACACATATATATATATATATATATATATATATGTCATATAAATGAAAAAAATTAACAAGGTCGAGTCGGCCAGGTTAACTCGGCTAACTCGACAGAAATTGACGAGTTAACTCGGCGTAATCGGTCGAGTTAGGCGCTAGGCGGGAGCCTAGGGGGAAATCGCCACGGCCTAGGGGCGCCTAGCGTCTAGACGCCAATTACTTGGTGCCTAGGCGGGATTTTTGCAACCCTGATAAAAATATGTAAAGTACTAAGCTGATTACCTTCTTCTCATTACAGGGCGTTTGGTTGGAGATAGGGAATTACGTGGGAAAGGAATTGCAATTCCATGGGATATGAATTACTGGGAATAAAGTGAGAATTTAAATTCCAGTGTTTGGTTTACAGTAATAGAATTACTGGGAATTTCAATTCCAATGTTTGGTATACATGGGAATTGAAAGGGAATAAGTAGTAGAAAGTAAAAAAAATGTCCATTGTTGTTGTTAGGCATTAATTTTGAGTTAAAAAAAAAATGAAGGGATAATTTTGACTCATCACTATCTTTTTTTCTTCCTAAAATCCTAGGAATTAAAATACTAGGGGGAGGGGGGGGGGGGGGGACATGAGATTTTAATTCCATGAAAATGGGGGAGTTGCAATTCCATGGAATTACAATTCCTTTCAACCAAACAAGGAAATTTTGTGGCCTTTGGAATTAGGTGGGAATTAAGTAAATTCCCTTCAACCAAACGACCTGTTAGGGTTTTCAAGAAGAAGGTAATTAGCTTACCTTCTTATATACTCAAAAAAAAAAAAAAAAAAAAAAAAAAAAAAAACCCTACCAAAGTGAGTCTTCTCTCTCTTCATTAAATGTGCAGGTGAGAAGAGAGAAAAGAAGGTATCTAGGATAAATACTGGAGGGAGAAGAAGAAAAATGCACATCTCCTTCTTTCATTATATCATTGCTTATTCTTCGTAGCCAAATCAGAAGCAACCGAAAATTACAGCTAGCACATAATCGAGGTACATACTCTATGAAACTTTGTTTATAATTTTTCGCAACTAATAATAATAATAATAATAATAATAATAATAATAATAATAATAATAATAATATTATTATTATTATTATTATTATTATTATTATTATTTATTATTATTATTATTATTATTGTTGTTGTTGTTGTTGTTATTTAATGTTAAAGATGTGATTGTAATATGAAATAATATATTATTATTTATTAACAGTTATGGATGCGAGACCATTTCACCCTGGACCAGCTGATTTGTCTATGCTAGAATTTCAACCGAGGCATCGATGCACACATATTTGGAACGACCCAAACTATAATGCCAAACTTAGTGGATCTAGATATGGCGGTAAAATGTATACTGATGAACCTCGAGAGCCCCGAATGATTGCATATTTAAGGGTCGCAGGGTCTTACGGTGTTGCACATTTAGGTCGTCGTATTAATATCGATCACAGCCTCATCGAAGCACTTGTTGAGAGATGGCGGCCAGAGGTGCATGCCTTTCATTTTTCATTTGGTGAAGTGGATATACCACTTCAAGACATTGAAGTGTTATTTGGTTTGAAGGTTGATGAGCTTGCTGTCACTAGCAAAGACAAACGTCCACCTAGTGAATGGATTGAGGAATGTGACAGGTTGTTGGGTTTTCGGCCTCCACTTGGATTCGTTACGAAGAGTAAAATATTTGCTACCGCATTACCAACAGTGTCAATTTAGTACCTTAACTATGCAATTTTTGTCAATTTTAGTCACTCCGGTCAAATTGACGGCCAAATTTCGCCGGAAAATTTTAATAATTAAAATAATAAGGATATTTTGGTCGTTTCACGCCTCTTTTTTTCTTCTCCGGCAAGTCCATTCATTTCTCTCCCGTTTTCGGCGTTCTTTCTCCCTGTAAACCCTATCTTTAATATCATTAGGCCTCCTTTCCCCATCATCTTAGTTCATTGCATTCGCCGAAAATGGGAGAGGAAGACTCGCCTGGGAAGAAGAAAAGAGACGTGAAACGATCAAAATATTCTCATTATTTTAATTATTAAAATTTTTTGACAAAATTTGGCTAGCAATTTAACTGAAATGATCAAAATTGATAAAAATTACATAGTTAAGGTACTAAATTGACACTTTTAAAAATCAACAACTAAAATTAACAAGATCCAAAATTGAAATTTTCCTCTTTTCGATATTTACTCCATTTAATTTTATTTTAAGAACTCTCGTGTCGTGCACAATAAGCTGTAACTTTATCATCGTATCCTGAGAATGCATTAAAAGGGAGTAAAAACAAAAGAAATTCCAAAACCCCTCTAAAACCCTAATCAAGGCGCCCAGCCAAAACGAGGATGGAGCCCATAGCAGCAGAGGAGCGAATAGTGACGGAGAGGTTGAGGCGGAAACTCGATGAAGTAAACAGATCTGTCCAGAACCACTTCTCAGGCATTGAAGACCATGTCAATTTCACCCTTCAGGTTTTTTTCCAATCTATTCTTTTTACCATTTTCCAATTAATTTCTTCTTCAAGTTTGTGGTGGGTGTTAATGCTATTTGCCATGTGGGTAGCAAGCGTACTTCAAATGTGCGTATGAGTGCTTTGATCGGAAGAAGAAGCCAGAGGAGATAGGGAGCTGCGTGGAGTACTGCAGCGTCCCTGTTGTCAATGCCCAGAATGTAGTTCAGAATGAGGTTTCCCAATTTCAAGTAAATCCTCTCACTCTTTTATACTCTTACTGTTTTGTTTCGGGATTATTATTTTCCACTTATCGGGCTCCATGTACTGGTTAAAATAGAATACAAATACATGCACCTTTTTGCTGTTTGCTGCCTATTTGAAGATATTGGATAATGGGTTAATATATGAGTGTAACTTACTAACTTGTGTGACTAGTAGAAGTTAGTGTTTTGAAGTTTAAAGTGGGAATGGACTATAGATGTATTAAGATACTATATTTTTTAAAAGATTAAAAATTTTGCAATTTTCCTGTTATTTTATATCTGAAAGTTCATTTCTTACTTTTGGTGCCCTTTGCTTTATTGTTGCACAAGTTTGGTGTTCCTTTCGAGTTGGTACTAGTGGTGAATTAAAAGATTTGTCTTAGAGATTCATGTTTCAGAATTCCATTCCTTATGGAGCCTCTTTTGGGCTTTTGTCATCTGCTTCTTTATATATATTAGATCTGTATTTCATATCTTAGTTGGGTAGATAAAAGGAATACTTTTTTTCCTGGACATTTTGTGTATGGAGTATTTGATTTTATCTACTAAATCCCTATCATTTCATTTCCAAAGGCCTGTGTTTGTATATCTTTATATGTGGTTTGGCATAGCATTTCAGCATACACTTGCTGATATGAATGTGAATGATGTACATAATCATTGGTGTTACCTTTCTATGAAGTACATTTTTTAAAATAAAGATGTGTTTTTTTTCCATTTGTCTTTATGTTCTCTTATGTAACTATGAATAATTGCCCCTTTTATCATTTACCATCTCCTAGTTTTGATATTTGTTTTTAAGCTCCAAAATAATTTAGCTAAAGAACAGTGATCATACCATCCTATTAGATATCATGTTCATTTGTGCCGAGTAAATTTCAATTTGTATTGGTCTCTTCAGTATGCAGCAAAAGAGTTCAAATAGTCAGAAACATTTTTTTTTTCTGGTGCAGGAAAAGCTTCAAAGGTCACTGATGGTCTGCCAAGACAAATTTGAGGCTGCAAAACTCCAGCTGAACAAAGGCGATGTGGTCAAGGATTTGGAGTCATGTGTTGACCAATCAGTTCAAGACTGCGTTAAGACGTTGCCTCATATTGTTGGAAGATTGAAGACTTCACTTCGCATGACTGATTCTATGTAGTTTGGGGGATAAAATCTTTCATACTTTTTTTTTATAAGTTTTCCAAGTAAATGCTGACATCATTAGAATGCCGGCAATGTATTAACCTCACAATGATGTTTATTTGTTATTTACCTCACCTCAGCTGTTACAGAATTTCATGATTCTATAAAAAAAAAAATGGAGTAGCAGTTTTTTTTAATAAATGACAGATTTTCTGATGAGAGAAAAGTGTAAAATGTGTTGAGGTATCTGATGATGTCTTTTCTAACAACTGCATTGGCATTATTCCTTAAAATTTGACCACTTTTTCTAGGTTTCCCTGAAGAATGAAGATGCCTAAATATTCTAATTTCAACTTCCAAGTTTTATCCTTTTTCCCAGTATAATACTCCAATGGATGGGCAACCATAACTCTGTAAAACAAATGACAACATTTTACTAGAACTCTGAACTCTTATTTCAGAATCATATTCTCAGGTAAACATGGAAGGAAATGCAGAATCTTGATTTATTTACAACAAAACATTAAACTTGAGTCTAAAAGCAAAAACATTATTTTAACAACTAGAATCTGATGACATTTCTGTTCCTCCTGCCAAGACCACAGTTTCTTATTCCTAACTATGACAGTGATATTATGTATTTGATGCCAAACTTGCTTTAGTGTCTTTGTTCTGTTTCTCCTGTTCAAACTTATCAATGGCAATCTGAAGTTCATCTGTGCCTCCGACAGCTCTCATGGTGTAGAAATACACCCCAAAGACAAATCCTGACAAGCCTCCAGCAACTACAAGATTCTTGGTTTTGGGTGCAAGGCGATTGAATGCTGTAAAAACAACCATCTTACAAGAATCACTATTGTGCTTCTGACCTGTCAATAAAATAAGTAATTGAGATACGATTTAAAATAAAATCAAAGGGCATGCATTAAAGTATTCAAATTCCAGGATGATAATTGATAAAGTGGTCGAAGGGAAGTAACAACTAAAATACTACTGTTTACAAGATTCTTGGTTTTGTGTATTTTACTTTGGGAAATGGTCTGTTCTATCACTGATTTTGTGTGAGAGTTGACTCTATTTTAGTATGTCGCCAAGAAAGCAGGTACACTTTATAACACCATTCTTTACCCATTAAGTTAAACTCAACAAGATCATGACAATCTTGATTAAAATTTTTGCTTCCCCTTCAACACTGGAGAATCACATGTTCTCTCAACATCCCTAACCATTTTAAAAGGTGATAACATAGGCACGGAAAAAGCATTTTGAATTCTCTACTTTATTTATCCTAGATGAGTCAAATTGTTTTGAAATGCATCATTGAAGTCACTATTAATGTACCCGTCACAGATGTCTCTAAGGCGAGAGATCCAGTTTTTCTACTGTCAAAAGAACAATAATAGTTTACATTAGAAAGATACATTTGTGTTGAACATAAATGCACAAGTGAACAAGTTTGTAATACTAATCTACAAAACTATGGAATCCACCAAATAGAAATTATAATAAAGTTTTCTCTCCTCTTGTATCTGCAATACCTACCTTCTATTACTTTAGTACTTCAGTACACAGTACTGACAGTAGGACAGAACAGCAAAAATCATTGCAGCCAATGAAACTATGAGGGCTCGTTTGGTTCGCTGGAAAATATTTGAAGGGAAATGGAATTGAAATTCCATGGAAAATAAATTCCAAGAAAATAGATTCCATTGTTTGGTTGGTGGAAAAGAAATTACTGGGAATATGAATTCCATTGTTTGGTTGAGTTTGGAATGGTAAGGAATAATGTGTATAATGACAAATATAACCCTACACAACAATAATAATATAATAATAATAAGAGTAATTAATAAAGAATGGTGAGGGTAAAATTGACATATTAGTTTTCCATGGAAAACAAAATACCTAACAAAAGCTAGGAATTTGTTTTCCTTATGCTCAAGGAAAACTTTTTCCAATGGAAAATGTTTTCCATCCAACCAAATAACATAAAACATCACTTTCCTTCACTTTTAGGAAAACATTTTCCATGGAAAATGTTTTCCATCCAACCAAACACCCCCTGAAAGTTGTAATCTTTCTGCTACAATAGCTCTTTGGAAGTTCAAGACTACCATAGTTTAGATCATAGTATGTATATTCATGTCTAAAAGTTGGAAAGAAATTTGGGGAAAATTGGACACATATTGGCATATTTCAATATAAACTATTTTTCATATAATTGTAGTCGAATTATTTACATGGTATAATTTGCATCAGCAAGAGGCCGCAGATCTCCGTCACTGCCGGAGCTGTAGCAAGAGGCGGCAGCCCTCCGCCACAGCCGCAGCAGGAGGCAGCAGACCTCCGCCAGAACCGCTATTTCGCCGTCGCCCTAAGCCCCTAACCCTACAGTAAAGGTTAAAGAATAAAGAAAAAAAAAAAACTCACCAGTTTCCGGCGTCCAACCTCGCGGCGTCGGCGGGTCGCTGCGATTTGCGAAGAGTTGAAGAATGAGATGCGTAGGAACAATAGGGTACTAGGGTTTACCCGTTTAGTCTAGCAATTACTCCGTATAAAATTGGCCACTCTAGTCTTGAAGGACGAGTAAGATCAGTTATCAAACTTATCACTTTTTTTTTTTTTTGAAAACCAAAACTTATCACTTTTATTACACAAAGTAGACTAACTTTTTTTTTTTTCATATCGTTTATTATTAATTTATAAGTGATAAGTGATTATTAAACTTTCAATTATTTCTATCTACTACCTACCATACTATATATGCATTAATAAGAGTCCAAGAGAATTAGATCTATAATAGGTAGAAAAAATTGCGGTCAAATTTTTTAATCAAATGAATGACTCAGATTTTAATTTTTTCTTAAGATTGATTAGATTTTTATTTTTTCTTAAGATTGATCAGATTTTTATTTTTTTACTGCAATTTGTGGATAAAATTTTTTGAAAAGGTTCAATGGCGAACGCTGGGGAAGATGGCCGTGTGATTGGAAATTCGCCTTGGATAACTTTTTTAGTGTTTTTTTTTTTCTCAAAAATTGGTGGAGTTGATCGGAAATTCACCGGAGTTAATTGGGATGTCGCCGGAATGAGTTTGAAGGTCGTTGGAATTGTTGTGACCTGCAATAACAGGTCATTAAGTGGTTGTTGGGCTTCAATGCTCAAAATGACAAGTTTATGAGTCTAATTGTAACTTTGTAATGGAGAAAATTACCGATTTGGTCCCTTGACTATGAGGATTTCACCAATTTGGTCCTCGACTATCAAAATTACTCAATTTGGTCCCCGACTATGACATTTTTACCTGATTTGGTCCTAAATGTTATTTGCAGGTCAAACCTAAAAGGTAATTTTGGGATTTAAAAAAAGCTAAGTATCGTCCTTTTTCTTCCCTAAATATAAGTCGTTTGTTTTATATAGATAGGTTATTTGTTTTCGATAGCAGTCGCAACTTCAATATGCAACCAAAGTGCAGTGAATCATCTTCATCCAACTATAAGAATCGAATGATGTTCGAAAATGGAGATGCTTATAGCTGGATGAAAATGATGTTGGTACAAGGCAGCAAATTTTTGAACATCATTCGATTATTATAGGTAGATGAAGATGATTCACGGCACTTTGGTTGCATATTGAAGTTGCGACTGCTATCGAAAACAAATAACCTATCTATATAAAACAAACGACTTAGATTTAGGAAAGAAGAAGGAAGATACCTTTTTAAAATTCCAAAATTTCCCTTTAGGTTTGACCTGCAAATAACACGTAGGACCAAATCAGGTAAAAATGTCATAGTCGAGGACCAAATTGAGTAATTTTGGTAGTCGAGGACCAAATTGGTGAAATCCTCATAGTCGAGGGACCAAATCGGTAATTTTCTCCTTAATTATATAAGAATAGTAATCGATGATCAAAATAATAATTATGGCATAGTCCAAAGACCATTTTGGTTATAATTAACCCTAATAAAATTAAAGCATATATCACAAATTTGAAGATTTTTAAAATTAAAATGGCTACTTAGCTTGATGCCCACCATTATTAAATCTTGACACAAGAAATAAGAGAATAAAGAAAAATAGTGACTTTAATTATTTAATTTATTTCTTTTTTATTTAATGAACTTGAACTTTAATATATATATATATTTTGAGTTTATTTAATATAAACATAATAGATTTAAAAAAAAAAATAGAAGGGGTCAAAAGTGTTTCTTTTTCCCCTACTATATTAATATATACATATATATTCACTACAAGTTTTAAAGTAGGGAGTAGGGGTGGGTGGGGGCCTAGGCCCTCTACACCCTAATGTAGCTCCGTCCTTGCCTTGAAGATAACAATATTTAAATCCACACATAAAAACATATTTCAAAAATAAATGTAAAAATGAATTTTATGAATAAATATATATGCTAGATTGCCGTTAGAGCAAACATTTTGTATAATAATTTCGTGACTCTCCAAAGCTTATGTGGCTTGAATTTTGACATTTATATTTTTTCAGATATTCCTAAACATTTGTGTACACAAGTTTTATTGTCCTCATATAGAACATTGTGGGTAAAACATATAGCATAACTTGTTTGAGACTTGGCATTATAGGAATCAAACAAAATAGTCAAGACCCAAGTAGACCATCAAAATCATATATTAGAGTTGCTATAAAGAATAATAATGAAGGCTTGGTTAGAGTTTTGGAGACACAAAATAGAGAGAAATTGAAGTGCATAATGCTACCAATGTAAATAATTATGCAAAAGATGGACTTAAATGCCATAAAAATTTCATGTGGACTAAATTTTTATGAATAGTGAATCTATCAAGACTGAATGGCCACTAGTACAAAAAGCATCAATAAAATCGAATAATTCGCGTCCAAAGTTTGAACTTTGGACGTCTAATAAAGTGTAGTGCGGTTGCATTTTTGTAATTAAAATGTCAATATATAATTTGTTTTGTATTTTTTTTTTTGAAATTAAAAAGAACAGGCGTCCAAAGTTATAGAACTTTGGACGCCTATTGTTAATCCGTCAAAAATGTTTTATATAGATAGGTTATTTGTTTTCGATAGCAGTCGCAACTTCAATATGCAACCAAAGTGCAGTGAATCATCTTCATCCAACTATAAGAATCGAATGATGTTCGAAAATGGAGATGCTTATAGCTGGATGAAAATGATGTTGGTACAAGGCAGCAAATTTTTGAACATCATTCGATTATTATAGGTAGATGAAGATGATTCACGGCACTTTGGTTGCATATTGAAGTTGCGACTGCTATCGAAAACAAATAACCTATCTATATAAAACAAACGACTTAGATTTAGGAAAGAAGAAGGAAGATACCTTTTTAAAATTCCAAAATTTCCCTTTAGGTTTGACCTGCAAATAACACGTAGGACCAAATCACGTAAAAATGTCATAGTCGAGGACCAAATTGAGTAATTTTGGTAGTCGAGGACCAAATTGGTGAAATCCTCATAGTCGAGGGACCAAATCGGTAATTTTCTCCTTTGTAATGTTTAGGGGCTTAATTGACTTTATAGATAAAGTTTGAGGGTCTATTTGACCATTTTCCTTGCTTATATTCACTACATTGTCTATTATCTTTTTTGTGCACTATTTTTTAATTAAATATCAAAATTATAAAACAAAATAATGATATATATTTATTTATTTACCAAGTATTTTATTAATACCATGAAAAAATTTTAAAAAATATAATTAATAAAGCGAACCATATTAACTACTTAAGAGATTTGTTGACAAAGAGATTATTCAAATCATACAACAATTTGAAGTGAGAACTATCTCGCAAAGTCCTTGTTTGACAATCAGCAGTTGGCGGTTAGCATTAGCGGATTTGACTAGTGAATTATATCAACGATTGGTAAAAAGATATTTGAAAAAATTAGTTGTTTAGATTAACATGTAAAATGACCTAAGATAATAATAATAATAATAATAATAATAATAATAATAATAATAATAATAATAATAATAATAATTGTTTTAAAAAAATAAAAAATATTATATAATTAAGCGAATCACATTAACTACTTGGGGGCTTTATTAACAAAAAGAGTATTCAAATCACACAACAAATTAAAGTAGGAAACTATCTCGCAATGTCCTTGTTTGACAATCAACAATTAGCTCTTCAATATTAGTATATATTTAATATTTTATGCCGTAATTTTTATTTGCTCTCCCTTATGTCACGTATTTGGTTTCAACTATACCTATACAATTATTTTATTGACAATTATAATCAATATTGACTATATTATCTTACATTTGTAAACTTAGAATTACCTATTTAAATACGCAAATTCAACATTCAATTATCTATGCATGAACAATTCTGATATAATCTTGCCTTAATATACTTTAAAATACTTATTTAAAAAAAAACATTAAACAATTATCTCAATTAGACAATGCACATAAAAAAGTAATAAACTAATAAGCAACTAGTCAACAAAATTCAAAATTCAAAATAAACATAAGACATAGAGAGAAACTCGGCAGATTATATTATGCACCGCGGTGCATAATCGATTATGCACCGCGCGTCTTTTTTTTTTAAATGAAAATTAACAGTGTTTATTTCCGCCGTTTCGCACCCTTTTGCAAAAAGTAACTCTGTTATTCAGTGTCATTTTGTATACACTGCAGTTTCAGTTGAACACAACTACAGTTTCATTTCGATATAACTATAGTTTCATTCGATATTTATAGACTCAAATATGTGAAAATGTTATTTAATTTTATTTTATATACACTATAATTTTATTAAAACACAACTACATGATCATTTTGATATAATTACAGCTTCATTGTACAATATACACTCAAATATGTGAAAAGTTATTCAGTTTCAGTTTATATACACTGCAGTTTCATTTCACTATAACTACAGTATCATTTTGATATAACTGCAGTGTCGGTTTGGATATACTGTAATGTCAGTTGGTGTTTAATACACTAAACAAACGGACTCTGTTAACTCTAACGGCGGGCCATTTCTTTACTTAAAGAAACGGCGCCGTATATGGGCCGCGGTGCATAATCGATTATGCACCGCGGTCTATAATATAACAACTGGAGAAACTCACTGCACTCTAACTATCCCTTATTCATCTAATTAATAGTACTACTCACGCATTATAATAAATATTTAATACATTGACACCGTATATTTTTGTTTTAATAAAACTAGTATTTGCGCCCGTGCGATGCACGGAATAGATTTGTTGTAATATATTAAGAATATTTGGATCGATATATAATTATTTAAATTAGAACATCAAATATTATATAGTTCAATTGAATATACGGGTTGGATCATTTATGTGTTTTTATATTATCATTGTATGACCAGGACTATGTGGTCCAATGGTATCCGGGTTGGACTTCCATTTGGAAGATTATAAGTTCGAGCCTCAGTGGAGGCGTTATTGGTTCTTTGTGTTTCAGTAGGTTGAGAAAGTATATGAACAGATACTACAATGTAATAGAGCCAGTAACTTTCAAAAAAATATTATCATTGTATGAATTTAAGCAAATA